TATGTTTACAATCTGATGTGGGATGTTCTGATGCATAATGAAGAGAAAGCTAGTTTGCAGACAGAAAGAAAAAACTACAAATCCCTGCTACATGGTTTTAGATACCCTATCTGGCAAGTACCTAACTCAAATCATTATGTTGACAGCTAAAAAAAAAGCCATTATTTTGATGTGGTAGTTAATGCCATTTTCACTATCAGCAGATAGTAATATCCTCCTGTTGCAGCCCTTTAATAATGTTGAAATGTGATGAATTCAGCCCAAAATCAATGAAGTCTGACCATTTGTTTATAACCCATTGACTTCCTCTATTAAAGAAAGTGATTACTTTTTCAGCAACAGAATAATTTTAAAGTCAAAGTTGAAATCCCTTTATCAATTAATTCCATGTAATGTAGGACTTTAAAACTTTTAAATGTAAAGTAAAACAAAAAAAAATCACCAGTTTGCAAACTATTCATCGTAGAAATTTATGTGTTATATTCCATCATTTTCATCATTTTAGGAAAATTAATTTGTGCATTTTTGTGTAGCCTGCAGTGCCCGCACGTGGACATGTATTATGTTAAGTATATATCTTACTTTAAGGTTGTATTTTAAGAAAAAAGAGCTTATATATGTGTATATTTACAGAGAAGTTTTAAACACACAATGTTCTATAAATCCCTGGTCTTCATTTGCAATGACACAATCTGTTGATGATGATATTGCGTATGTTCTCTTTCATTTTGCCGTGTTCTGAAAATTGATGTAAATTTTGGCTAAGATTTTTCTTAAGAACTGTCCAAGACCAGGGACTTATAACACAGTATAGGCCTATAACTGGTCGTATTGTCAAAAGAAATATTGTTTATTTTTTTCATATGGTTCTAAGAACCGTTTTTATATGTTTTATTTTATACCGTTGCCAGAATCCCACCTACATGCGTCACCCGAAAGACGACAGAAAAATGAGAGAATATTTCTCAGGTTCTATTTTTGTACTTTTTGTACAGCAATTTTAGCCAGAGTTAAAACAAAATCAGAATTTAAAAATAATCACTAGCTGGTAATAAAAAGCCATGGAAATTTTCATAGCATTCAATGCATTATAGCTAGTTACCCAATCAAAATTCACTGCACAAAACAGACAATTCTAAATAGCCTCAAAGGCTTTGAGTGGAGAGCCGTGATTGGTCGTTTGTAGTTGGACAGGTTATGGCTTAGCCAATCGAATTGCTTGTGAGATGCTAGTAGCTGTGTAGCCACCAAGTGAGTAAAGGTGGACCGTGATTGGCTGATTGCCAGAGTTAGACCCACCAATCCCAAAGCTTATCTTACATTCCATGAAAAGCTGCCAAGGCTGAAAGGTGCTTTCTGATTGGCTGTGTCCGAGAGGAGTTTTCCATTCTTTGCACACGGCACTAAAAGAGTACCCTCTCTCAATATGCCACAAAGTATTATTTTCCATTGCAATGCAATATCTACTTGGAGCTATATACTATGGTAGCCTCAATGTAAACAGAATATGCAGGAAAAGTGGAAAGAAAAGTTGCTTTTTGATGATCAGAATATTGCATGAAAATCAGAGAGTATAGTTATTATGAACCTAAGATCAGAAACAGCTAAACATACCAAAGAATTTTACAAGTGCCAGTTGACTGAGTGGCATTTTTATCTTTCATTTTTTTTTAATATGTCACAAGAATATGTATTTTTGAGTGTAACGTGTGTTTTCTATAATGTGCACAGAGTTTCAAGAACCGTTATGATTTTCTGCAATTCTTGAAAAAGGGACATTATTTTCTTTCCATCTATTCGTATGGGTTTCAGTAGTACATGTATCCAGAGTTTCATCAATTGAATGATGTTTTAGATTTTTTTCTTAAAGAAAGAAGAGGGGTGTAACTCACTCCCAGTTTCAAGTGTTCTTTGAATAGTTGGTTCCATATTGAAAATCTACTCATAAGAATAAAAGCAGAAAAACAATTTCAAAATGTTTCTGGGAACTCTGTGCATTATACACCAAAGTATACTTCTATTCCATAAAGTGCATACAAAAAACTGTTTTAAATTTTAAACATATTTACCCAGCTTGTAAGTTAACAGTAATTTCTAAGCCTTACTTTAAGTGAAAGTATCATATTTAAGAATTTTTAAGAACAATGTATACTGTTGAAAATTGTGTGTTAATTCTTCGTAGATTTAAGATTTTTACATCATCATAAGTGTTTTAATTCCATTTCTTCGAAAATATTGTATAATCGTTGTTTGTTTAAAGGGAATTTTCGAACAATTTTTAGCATATTTTTATTTTTTTGTTGAATCTTATTGCTCATTGCTTCGTAGTTACATGATTCATTGTCTTTCTATCATCTTTGAAATTAAAGAAAAAATGCAACTCAAAAACAAGTTATTTTTGTTTCACAAGCCTTTTGCTTTTCTTAGTACCGGTAGACCTAAAAAAGGGAGATTTTACGAAGGTTTCCTTGCTACCGTTTCACTATATTTGTGTTTTGTGAGAGTGACGAAAGAGTAAGAGCAAAAGAGAGAATGAGAGGGAACAGGAGGGGGAGACGGGAATAGAGGAAAGGGAGGGCAAATGAAAGTAAATCATTAAGGAAGGAAAAGAGAGGGAGAAAAATGTAATTGAAGCGTAAACTAGCATATGTGTTACATGTAAATGAAGATTGTCATTCTTTTCTTTTGTTGATACACATAATAAAAATAAATGATCAGATACAAACTTTTTTTTCTTCTTTCTCTAGTTACCTATCTTTCTCCCCTTTCTCTCTCACCTATCTTTTGTTATCTCTTCTACCTACCCCCCCCCCCTCCTATCTTTCTCCGTCTCTCCTCCCCTCCTTTCTCTTTTCCCTCCAACCCCCTCTTCTCTGTTCTCTCTCCCCCTCTTTCTCTCTCACCTATCTTTAATATCTCTCCTATCTACTCCTGTTCTCTCTCTTTCCGATTCTCTATCTCCGTCTCTCCTCCCCTCTCCCCTCGCCTCTGTTCTCTCTCCTCCTCTCCCCAATGATATTTGTTTCCATCATTTTTTCTATCATTCTATCTTGGCTAACTCAAAATTTAATAAATTATGACATAAACATCTCAAATATTATTTTTAACAGGTTTATTTCTGTTGATTTATAGTACAAAGTATATTTACAAATTATTTACAAACATCATAGGACAAAAGGACAACAACCCTCTCCATCTAGCTGAGATAAAAACCTGCACAAATGAAAAGAGTGATGTACCACACTACCTTGTTTATTTCTTAATATGAACATCTGCTCATGAAAGAAATGAAACATGTATTCCTCAGACTTGCTTGTGGAAGGCTTCTTGGCTTGGGTATAATGCCACCCAAACAAGCTCTTGAAGGAAAATCTGACCTTAAAAAAGAAAATTACTCTAAAAGATGCAGAAAAATGAAAAGAGCACACTGGTAAAAATTTGCATGAAATCGGAGGATAAAATAAGAAAGCTATGAAAAAAAAATTTAATCACTAAAACGATTTACCACTTAAAATTGGCTAAATCAGTAATGCCCCTGTCACGTAGTGCCGTACAACTTTTTAATTTGTTTCATCACAAAAATGACTAAAATGTCAATTTTTCAAAATGCATGTATTGGGAGAATTTTTTTATTTCTAGAGGACCTAAAATGTGTCCAAAGGGAGAAGGCACACAGAAGAAAAAAGACAATTTTATGATATTTTTGTACCCGATGAACGGGACAAATGTCAGTAATTACATCATACCACTACTCAACTGACCAATCTGCAAATTTCGACATTCATAACAAATTTAGCATTCTGTTTCTCTTATTCTTCTACTTTCAAACAAATGAACTTGATACAAAGTGTGGATTGCCCTTTAAATAATCGGGGTCTGCAAGCGGGATTTCTTATATAAAATACTCAGCCTGTCAATTGACTTGAATATAAAACTTATACAGTAAGATGATTTTTGATCATGATATATTGATGATAAAACTATAAAGGGCATGCAAAAGTAGGTATTCCTTTTTGTTAGTCTATCTTTCCTTTTCACTTGCTGAAAAGTAACTGGACATAGATCAGTATCAATGGGTCACTAAGTACAAGTATTTAGGGTCAGAATTTTGTTTAACAAACTAGTTGATCAAGTGCATGAAACATTTGTGATTCCACAATTCTCAGGACAAACTTGGCTTATAGTCTATGGAGAATGTGTATCATACCAAAACCAACTGACCTAAAAGTCAATATGAAAGATCTCAAATCATCAATTTTACCCGAATGCAACCTTCGCTTCAAGTGAATATCTCTTAACCAAAAATCAGACAATCCGTTACTAGGTCACACAACATTTTAAAAAACAAAATACTGCTTTTTCTAAATTGCTCTATAACAAGGCCTGGGACCCGTTTCACAAAGCCTTTTTTCAATGACAAATGACAAAAATCATTGACAAATCTGCTGATAACCAATCAGAAGCAAGGATTTCGGTAGCTTATAACAAAAACTGTCATTTGTCACTGATGACAAGTTTTGTGAAACGGGCCCAGGTCTTGTTTGCCATTTTCTTATATCGTTTGTCTTTTAATTTATCAAGATACATTTCTGGAACATAATAAATCATAAAAACAAGGAAATACATAAGCAATAAAAACAATAAAATATATAAGACATTAATCCCATCCAATCAACATCATGTGGAACTTCTGCGGCCGAGATCTAAAGGGGGGGGGGGGGGGGGTGGGGGGGGGGGGGGGGGGGGGGGGGGGGGGGGGGGGTGGGGGGGATGGGTCCATTGCCCCCCCCCCCCCCCCCCCCCCCCCACCCTCCAGTTAAAACTTACTCTCAAAATGCCCATTCAGAATAGGTCTACATCAACTACAAAGTGTATGAAAATGAGAAGAACTGAAAGGAAGTTTGTTGACCCTTTAATGAAACCTACAGTGAATATTATCACTATGAAAATCCCTTTCTCAACCCTTTTTCACTTCGCCTTTTATTCTAACTCCTTTTTTAAATGTAAATTGTTACTTTCTCTTGTAGATTAAAATTTCTTTCTCCCACTTCCCCTCTCTTCCTCTCTCCTTCCATCTCTTTCTCTGTATCTCTCCTCATTCATCACTCTCTTCCTCCCTCCCTCAAATTCTCACTCATTCACTTAAAAATTCCATCAATAATTCCATTATCCCTATTTGTTTTTCTCTTTCTGTCATCTCCATTCTTCTGCACCTATCTCTTTCCTCCTTTTGTCCATCTTTCCTCTGTTCAATCTTCCTTCTCGTTTGTCCATCCTTCATTTCATTCTGTGATCTTTTCAGATGTCATCATTCGGCCTGGGAGGTCTTTGGTGATTGCAGCATGCTCAGAAGAGAGCTGCCAAGTTCCTCTTCCTGTATTTTTAAAAAGAGAGAAAAGAAAATTGCACTAATGTCCTTTGGTAAGACATTGATCTACATTTGCCACACTCAACCCAGGTGATGGGTACCTGGCAGGAATTAATTCCTTGAAATGCTAGAGCGCCGTAATGGCCGCCTCGCTAAAGCCAGGGTAATAATCGGGGCAGCACCAGGAGCATCACAACGTGACGGACACGTGCGCTATACAAAAAGCCACCATTATTAGTATTATTATTATTGAAACTGAATGGATCAAGTAATCAAAGGATATTCCATAACAATGAATGAGTAGGACTACAGAGTTAAGTAACTTTTTATTCATAAGTACAAACGATTAGGACAGCAACTTTCTAGCCTAGCGTATCACATCAACTTGCTAACGTAGATGAATAAGTAAGACACAATATCAAACAATTTTGTGTTATGTATTGTTATCAAGTGTCTCAACAGGTAAATAACATTATAATGATAATAAAAATAATTAAAAAAAACAAAAACAACAACAGTAATACAACCTCAATGAACCCTCATCAGCATCAATGCTGTTCTTCCCGAGGGCCCTGCAATTATCATTTTATCCAGAATTGCCAGGTACCATTTTACACCTGGGAGAAGAGTAGCAAATGTGGATTAATGTCTGGCCAAAAGACATTAGTGCCGGCTTGGGTTACGACCCATGGGATTGAGAGTCTAGTAAATGAGCCACTATACAAGTAACACGACACATCCACATTGAGGCAAGTAGAATTATCATGCAGCCCTTTCAGCATAAGATTAGAATAAATGAATAAAGGAAAGCCTACCTGATCTACATTGATGCAATTATAATTATCATGCAGCCCTTTTCAGTATAAGACTAGAATAAATGAATAAATGAATAAATTAAAACCTACCTGATAGGGCCATGAGACGAGAAGATCTAAATTGTCATCGGATTCTGCAGACATCTGAAGATTAGAGAAACCATAGGGGAAATATGATTTATTACAAGCATCCTTAAAATTTATCTTTTCTATTGTCATTAAATGATCTCTGCATCATTACATCACCAGTATCATCATCCCACAATTTACCATCAAGAACCTCATCATCATCACCAACACTACCATGACTGTCGCCACCACCAACATCATGACTGTCGCCACCACCAACATCATCAACATCTCCACCACTTAGAAAGATATTCTTATCATCATCACTATCATCAACTCCATCGTCGTCGTCGTTGTCATCATGATGACAACCACCACCACTTAAATTGATATTCTTATCATCATCGTAATCATGTCCACCACCACCATTATCATCGTCATAATCATCATCACCACCATCATCACCATGATGACAACCACGAACACCATCATTACTACAATCACCATCACTTAAATTGATATTCTTATCATCAATATCATCATCATCATCATCATCATCACCATCATCAATCATCATCATCATCATCACCATCAACATCATCATCAATCATCATCATCTTCGTCATCCTCATCATCACCATCATCATCATCATCTTCATCATCATCATAATTTGTATTTTTACCTGTTAATATGCTTGTGTAATTATCTATTTTGTTTTTGATGCTGTTATTTGTTTTATTATTACCAAAAAGGGCCTAATGGAAGACCACCAAATTGGTGATATGTGCCACCCCGTATATATATATATATAATAAATAAATAAATAAATAAATAAATCATCATCTTCATCATCATCATCACCATCATCATCATCATCATCAATCACCATCATCATCATCATCTCACCTTGAGAAGTATAGCTCCCATCATGATGGAGGCATCTGGCATGAGCTGAACAGATTCTTGAGGGAATCTCCTGCACGATGTGTCCATAGATCAAGGAACAAAAAATAAAGAAACCGAGATTTTGTGAGACATTACAAAAAGTAACATTTTCCATCAGATTGTTGTAATTGCAGATATTACTTTTCTATAAATCTTTAAAACAAAAGAAGATTTGTTTTCATCCTTCTCACGTGTCGAAGAGTGACAGAGACGAAGAGTCCACTGAAAAAGGAGGGCTCTTAAAATGTCTTCATATTCAAAATATGACAAGTATCAGCTGAGGGCCATAACTGTCATGCCACATGATTGTGTAGTCCAAGTAAAAATGTATGCGTGCATGTGACTGTTGTTATCCTGTTGATGATTCCCAAATCGTACAGTAAACATCAATACTTCTGTGCTACAAGATCAACCTTTCCAATCGCTTCTACACATTCTCTTTCACATTATAACTGCAACAACAGAACTATCTTTAAATCATTGTCTATGGTACTTGAATATGATCATTATAAAAGGATAGAAAAGTTTTGCTACTGACCTTTTGAGTTTCTTGGTGAGAGCTTCCATGGATGACGCCGATGTAGACACAGTGGATGTGAATCTGATATCATGCTCTACCAGACCTAGCTGCTGCATGACCTTAGACGGCTCTTCTAATTGGATCCTCTGAATCACAGACAGACAGACAAACAGACACGGATAAAGGTTGTCATGAATGAAGATGACCACACGCATGCATATACAGTTGAACCTCATCATAACAAACTTCTTGGGACCGGCAGAAAAACAATGACACATTGAGAGTTCATTGTAAAGTGTTTATATTATATCTCTTACAACTTGGGACTGTATTTTATGGGCAAATGTTTTGAAATGAAACCTCAAGCTTTGTTACAGAAGTGTTATTTCCAGACCTGCCAAGTTTTCCAAACTGCAATGTGAGACAATTGTTATCAAGAGTCCATGAGAGCGAAGCATATAAAGGCTGGGGGCCCAGGAAGTTCATGGGTTTTGACACTTTCAGGCATGTAGAAAAGGGTATCAAGAGGCCTAAAAATAAGGATTTCTAATGCATAAGTCTACAAAAAATGGGCATTATCAGATTTATAAAAAAAAAAAAAAATTGCGGAATGCGGTACATCCCGCATTTTCTGGATTTTCCTCTCTGTCCCGCATAAAGTGGGACACTTGGCAGGTCTGTATTCCTGATGATTTTTAGAAGAGTCATTTCAGTCATTTAACTTTTTTTTTAGGTGATTGGTATACTTTAACCCTATTTTAACTGGGCTATTTCAGACCAGGTTTCACGGCCGATCGCCGCGAAAATTTGCATACATGTCAAGTGAAGTGTATAGAATACTATGGTAATTTCAATTTTTTTTTAAATTCACTCATTTACATATTTATGGTAATTTATGCAAATAAGGTCATAAAATTCACATTTTTGCCCATAAATCATACATTATTGATATTTAAGCATTCTTTTTCACTACATATATTTGTTAGACCGTTTGGAATAATAATACAACACAAAAAATTAGAAGAGCCAGGTTTTTCCTTATGTTATCTGTTGTTTTGATAATTTCTTATGTATTTCATTGTTTTTTCAACTTATATATTTTATTGTTTTTGTTGTTTTATTTCATTTATAACTACAATTCAACTATTTTGACCCCAAAACAAACACCCAAACTTTAAACAAGACTAAATAACCAATGTTTTATCTCTTTTTAGGAAAAATGACATTTCCATATGTTTTGTACACAAATCACAAAAATGAGCGATTTTCGGGCTGACATCCAACAACAAAATGTCACGTGACTCCGTAACTATAAGTTCGATTTTCGAAAAAATTGTTATAAAAGATGCGTAAGACTCGAAAGAAAAAAACCATGAAAGGAAAATTTTATATCTGCCGCGGTTTCGGAGAAGTCGCGAAATTTCTACAGGGGGGGGGGGAGGTGTCAAATTGACCCCCCCCCCCCCCCCCAGTTAACATAGGGTTAACTTGAAACGCTGGCCTAAAGTTAGGCCTGATTATAGGTTCATTACCTCATCTCTGATGACCAGTGCTCCATGCATCGTGTGGCATTTCTTGGATTCGGGAGGACCTGATGTGATACCTGGATGTCATGGTGATTCAAACGAGAAAGAAAGGAAGAAAGGAGTAAATAAACAAAGAAAAAAAGAAGAAATAATCAAGGAAAGAAAACAGATATAAAGAAAGACAGAGGAAAATAAAAGAGAAAAAGAAAGAAAACAAAGAAAGAAAAGAAGAGATGAATAAAGAAAATCAGAAAGAAAGGAAGGAAGAAATAAAAAGAAAGAAAGAAAAAGAAGAAGCGAACAAAGAAGTGTAAATAAGTCATCAGTATGCCTTTAAATTAATTATACCAATGGAATAGACAGGCAGAGATGAAAGTTAGGAGAAAGAAGACGGGAGCCTGTCTCCCTCTTTTTCTCCATCTATCTTTCTCACTGCCTCAGCATAGAGGCTAACCCTATCAAATCACATTTCACTTTTCAAAGTCTGTCTGTCACTAATGTGATAGGGAAAAAATGGTGTTGTATCCTATTTTGTATTGTGATCCAATTATATTATTGCCTTAGATTAATAGAACAAGTTGAAAGTACATATGAATAAATGATTATATTGAAGCCTTTACTATATACTGAAATGAAGATAACAGCTTAATATCTACCTTAGATCTTCTAAATCTATGGTAGATGTAAAGCAATAAGAGTATTCCATTGTGGAAGGACAGCGTCATGACTTCTTTTTCTCTCTTCCTATCTTTCTGTCCTTCCTTCCTTCCTTTCTTTCTCTCTTTCTTTTTTTTTTCTTTCTTTCTTTCTTTCTTTCTTTCTCTCTCTCCCTCCCTCTCTCTCTCTGTACATATATTGAATGTAGATACCATGAAAGTTTTCTTGCATGGTATATGAATGACTTTGTTATCCTCCCCCCCCCCCCCTTTTCTTTCTCTCTTTCTCCCTCCCTCTCCTTCCCTCTCCGTCCATCCCCTCCCCCTTTCTCTCTCTCTCTCTGTATACATATTTAAGGTAGATACCTGCAAGAGATGCGCTTCTCTTCAGTAATCCCAGCGACACATCAGCCATGAGATTTGTCTTGCACGGTATATTAATGCTCTCTCCATTGGCAGGCATGAAGCAGTCGATCTCTGTAAGATAACATAGAAACACATTGACAAAACACATATGAATGTTTATTATTGTAATTGCTGGTAATTTTTTTGGGGGTAAATTTTTTGCTCATACATTGTAAATTTCACATTGAGAACATGAAATCTCCTTGATAATAGAAAATATGAATGATTTGAACCAAATTTTATGCCTTTTAAAATAACTTTAACAAAAAAATGTCAAAGATGCTAACGGCTTTCCATAATAATTGTTTAGTTCGATCACTAAATATTGTAGGATCGCATATGCTTCCAACATGTTCATTTAAACAGAATTCATAACCCCATACCAAAACTTTGTATTACCTTGAAGTTCGACTTGGGATCTCTGTGAAACACCCCCCTGATGTTACTCTTTTTATTATATCCTGTTGAACTTACTGAATTCCTTGCAGATCTTGTCCTTGAGGAAGGCCATCTTTCCGGCCTCTCCGTGGACCAGGACCACATTCTTAGGCTCACACATCCTGATTAGCTGCATGATACCCTTAGCATCAGCATGGGCGCTGCGGGGTAAAAGAGAGAGAGAGAGATAAGATTGTGAGTGTGGGATAAAAGAGAGAGACGGACAGAAATGTAGAGATGTCGTGGTCAAGTGGATACCTCACTGGACTGTCAATCACAAGGTCCAGGGTTCGAGTCCCGCCGCGGCTTAAAGTCCTTTGGCAAGACATTGATCTACATTAGCCACTCTCCACCCAGGTGTTAAATGGGTACCCAGCAGGATGCGAGAGCCAATGTAGTATGCTTAGCAATTTGAGCCTAGTAGCTCTTGCTGGAATCCTTCCCAGGGAGTGGAGAAAGTGCATACATTGTGTGCGGGCAAGCTAGAATCCAACGACCGGGGGTAATAACTGTAAAGCGCTTTGGAACTCGGACTCGCCGATGTATTAAACGCTACATAAGCAGAAATATTATTATTATTATTATTATTAAATACTGAGAGTAAAGTCTAATTTTTGCATTTTGTCTCCTCAGTGTGGGTCTCGAACATACACACATGGCAAAAGTTGTGGGAGCCAGACGACAATCCTATTGTGCCACGCTGCCACATTCACATTCATATATACTGAAGCAGGAGAGTTAGAAGAAAGAAGAACTAAAGTCACACAGAAATAAGTGAGGCAACGAGGTATAATTTTTCTTTTCAAATAAATTAAAATGAAACCAAAGCTGACATTTCTTACCTGAAGGACATGTATTGCACAGACAACTTGACATCAATCTGTGAAAAAAGTAAATACGCCCATTATCTTCATTACTTGCATCATTACTATAATAATAACATGATTATCGTATCTGTCATCATCATCACTGCCAGCACCATCATCATCACCATCATCATCATCATCATCATCATCATCATCTTCATCATCATCATCATCATCATCATCATCACTGCCAGCACCATCATCATTGCAATCATCATCATCACCACCATCATCATCACTACTACCATCATCATCATCATCACCACCATGATCATCATCATCATTATCACTGTCATCACCACTGTCATCATCATCACCACCATCATCATCATCACCATCACCACCATCATCATCCTCATGATTATCCTCATTAACAAATTCTGTAACTTTTTCTGAACTTCTATAACTAATATCAAATCACATATCGTACCGTTTGTCTATTTTCCATCTCTATCTTCTTCTGTCCACTGAGCACCTTATGACCGACGGTCCCTGCCACGCAGTATCCAGGCATGATCAGCATGTTCTTCTCTCCCGAAGCCCACTGCTTGAAGATCTGAAGGGACAGGCCGGAGTGGAGCATGCCTGGTGTGGCGAAGACGACCATTGGGCCGGGGTTGTGGATGTACCCGCGGTCAAACGGCTGTGGGAGTAGCAAAGTGTAATAACAATAATGATAATTGATAATGATAATATTTTACACGGGCTCAGTTGTGAGTCGGTCAAAGGAGGTGCACACCATCTTATTCATTGTTTGTTTGATCTTATGTTTGATTCCATGTTTTTGAAATTATTATACATGCTTGATTTATTGAATAAAGAACAGATTTATAAATCATGTGTTTTTAAAGTTTTGGTTGGTAATTTATAGACACACAATGGTGCGCTTAGAAATAATTGTATTATGCACCTAATAAATGCTGTATATTACTATTATTGTTATAATTGGATTTATATAGCACATTATTACCCGTATCAGACATCTGAGCGGGTCATTTACAAAACCGTATTGCCCTAGTTTTCACTAGCAGTGGGAACGGAGGGGTATATTCTTTGTATTTTCCTTGGTCTCCCTGCGCGTATTGACTTTGCGTGTAGAGACGAGTGAAAATATACCTTGGTATTTTCCACGGTCTCGCATTATCATTGCGCATCTATTAATATTATGCGTACGAGAACCTGCGCACTTTGCGCGCACTCTATTGTGACGTAATAATCACACCAAATACACACTGTTTGTAGTGTATCGAAAATTTTGTCGAGCACTGGATGCACAGTGTTGGTTTGACAAAGTTTGTTCAGTTCTTGAGATTGTCATGGTGGATGTCTCTATTTGCTCTAGATGTCTGATTTGGATAACAATAAAAATATTGACTGGCTTTACTTTCGGGGGATATCAGAAATATTGACCGCGCTAAGACCATATTGCCCTCGTCTTTCGACTCGGGGCAATATGATCTGAGCTTGGTCAATATTTCTGATATACCCCTCAAGGCCAGTCAATATTATATAATTATTCAGGAGACTTATTGCCACTCCAGGGACTCCTACAACTTCATCCTCACCAAGTAAGTCATCAAACTCACATTGTTTAAGGAATTCCTTCCTACTGGTAACTTTTAACACGTAGGGCACTTTACATGACACATGTTATTCACCGATGTAGAATAATTTTGCACTGGAAACAGTGAAATACTCTTAAAGCCTTTGATATATCTATCCCACGATACATACAACAAGGCACAGGGAGATTATTTGTGTAGCACATAAAGAATTTAAACACTCTACAAGATCCTACATGTCGACGAGGAGGTGCGATGGCTCAGTGGTACAGCAGTGGTCTCGTAACCAGAAGGTACCGATTTAGAAAACAAAGTTGATTGGTTAGTGCACAATGGCATTAATCCTCTTTGGAAAGTCCCTCCGAGACGACTTTGCTTACTAGCAAGCTAAGACATACTTTGTTAGCAGCCAGGTAAAACAAACAAACAGACGAACAAACAAACATGTACCTTGATGTGCTGGAATTCAAAGAGATTTCGCTTGACAAACGTCTTCTTTATCTTCTGATTGGTCCATGTGATGAAGAGCTTGTAGTAATGGTTCGCCTACAAAGCAAGGTCAGAGGTCAAATACTGCAAAACTTAAACCTGTCATGACACAAAACTTGCAAATGTTGTTAGGAACTGCCATTTTAATTCAAGATACTTTCAATTATGATTCAAGTTTGTTAAGCTCTGAAAGACCCGCAAAATCTGTGAGCATGGTATGCTCACGAAAGTTTCTGGTTTACCAGTATAGAATTTCCCTTCTGGAAAAGATTTCACAAGACAACATGGAGCTGTTGATCAGGTATTAAATAAAAATCTGTTAGTATAACAGGGTTGTTAGGATGAGTAAAATTAGAATAATGCTACAATATTTTGATGAAGTCAACAAATCAACTAAAAAAGGTCAAGCACAAATTCACAAGACTACTATTAATCAAAAATATGTTGTACGACACATGCTCTTGTGAAATATATAAATGAATCCAATTCAATCCTATCCAATAGGTATGTGAAATAGTGCTTTTTCCTTGCAGTTACAAAGTGCTGTACACATTACTTCACATACCATATAATCACTTAAAAAAAGACCACATAAGTAAAGAAAAAAAAGAAGAAAAAAACCCACCATTGTCCTCTAAACCTAACCCTAACCCTAACCTGAAACCCCACTGCAGTCCTTGTTCTAACCCTATACCTTTGACAAAATAAAGCCTGGAGGAAGTTTCACTGGAGCAAATGTTTGATTACCTAATATCATCTAACCATGCATTGTATTTAGAGACAAAATACACTGTAATCTGACAGTGATCATTGTAATTTTAGAGATACCTTACCCTCTCTGTGAGCCCTGTTGAGAAGTAGATTGGAGCTTTGAGGTTCATTCTCTCCCTGTATAAGAGATGTATAGAGTGAGGAATTACAACTGGGAAGCACATTATCATTTACAGAGAAAAAGCTAGTTTGTAGAACACACAAGTAATCTGCTATATTATTTATAGCATTGTGTGCATCAATCACCCAGACTACAGGAAAAACTCTCCCACAATACCACACCAAGTATTGGTAGAATTAATTCTTGACATCTGCAACTTTCTTGCCGCCAAGTACCTTTGATATGACTAACATTCCGAGCCATGCAGTAACCCATAATTATCATAATGTAATCTGAACAAGATCATCATGAACATCATCATGTTCCTTAAGGGATGAGACTAAGAAATTCACCCAAAAGGAGGAAGATTAGATGGGGATCCAGGGCGGGGGTTACTTTATAATATATGTACGTAAAAGGACATGTTTTCTTTGATTTATTTTCTAAATTTGAGAAATATTTGTTTACTCTATAACATTGTTCAGATGGATTTTTTTTTTTTTTTTTATCCCTTTAATTTCTGTTTTTTCCCCAGTCTTGAAATCTTGAAATCGGCGGAAGGAGAAATCTCATCCCTGTTATTATCATCATCACATTCACAATCATGCCTCCTTACCAATATGATTCCAGTAGAATACACAGCTCCTGTGCTCTACCCAGGGCGAAGACCGGTATGAGTACCTTCCCTCCGTTAGTTACACAATCATGAACCTTCTTCAAGAAATCTCGCTCCCTACACCTATCAGAGAGGAATCACAAAATAAATATATGTATTTATACATATGTATATAATTGTAATTGTTATATACACCTATCACAGATAAATCACAAAATAAATATATGTATTTATACATATGTATATAATTATAACTGTTATATACACCTATCAGAGATAAATCACAAAATAAATATATGTATTTATACATATGTATATAATTGTAATTGTTATATACACCTATCACAGATAAATCACAAAATAAATATATGTATTTATACATATGTATATAATTATAATTGTTATATACACCTATCAGAGATAAATCACAAAATAAATATATGTATTTATACATATGTATATAATTATAATTGTTATATACACCTATCAGAGATAAATCACAAAATAAATATATGTATTTATACATATGTATATAATTATAATTGTTATATACACCTATCAGAGATAAATCACAAAATAAATATATGTATTTATACATATGTATATAATTATAATTGTTATATAAATAAACTAAGCAGGCAATGATGGAAAATAACTTATTAAACAAGTATCACACAAAACATAAAGGCCAGTATTCTACTAATATTCAAAGCCTAAACTGGCTTTAAGATTTGGGTTCAAATGGGGGGTTAACAATGGAAAATAATCTGAGGTCTAAGTTTTCCTCTTGTTAAACATAATTTCAGATCCAGGGTCAAGTTTGACATGAATCAGTAAATAATTGCAGACCTTACAATCTATAAATACAAAATAACTACAAATGCTTACATATAAAGGAAACAAATAATAAATGTTCGCCGTATGCTGTCATAAACCATGTCAGTTTACTGCAGGTTTTTATAAGTGTAGTTTACGTTCTGCACTTTACATCTGTTTTTGTTGTTCTTTCAAACAGATAATTGAGTATGAATAAGACTATTGTTGCGCACAATAGCATACATGTGAACAAGCCTAAATGAAAATAAAAGAAAACAAAAAACTTGCTGGATATTTCCTATGTGTAAAAGGTGAGTGGTGCTTTGCAGTTAATTTATTTCCAGCAGTTCTTGTAAGTTTTTCTAAGGTGAAATTCCATTTTACTTTTATAAGATATTGGACACCTACAATAGGAAAAGAATAGAAATGATTCCTACCTCTTTGAGTCTCTGATAGTGGTTGCATAGGTCGATTCTGTGATGAGAACGTTTGGTCTACACTTGTCTATCCAAGCAGCACTAAAACAAACAAACAAACAAAAATAGTGAATGTTCAACAGTTGGGAAAATTCAAAAATTGGTACAGAGAATTTACTGTAAAAGAGGGTTACACATTGACGCCTTCAAAGAAAACCATAAATATCTTTGTGGTTTAAAACAAAAATCAGGATTTTGTGCATGTTATAGGGTTAGTACAGTAAAAGAAATATAACAAAATGCTAGTGTGCGCTGACCATTAAATCAAGTCCATTCGTTTACATGCAATTGTCCAAAAGAAGTCGTAGATGGCATTTACCAGTATTTGGCATGCTACACCCCTTTAAAGGAATGTCAATTCTACATGACAGTATTAAAAGTGAAACCTTTATTCCATAAATTTGATTATCTATTTATTACTTACCCTAAATGCCTATCTGGTGTCATATTGTAGTCTCCCTGTCAAATATAGAAAGTAAAATATTAATATTTATAAATAACACTGACTTCAATAAGTTCAATCAAAGATTAGTTCAACACTCAGCAACAATTACTGCTCTACATCCACTATTCTGATAATTCATTGGAAATCATCGCTCAATATATTTGGTGGTTTTGTACTATCTCACTATCAAGAGCAACCTCTCTCATGCTTTGCGAGAGTAGACCAGTTTCTGTCCGTTTTTATATATTGTTATAATTTTTTTATTCTTAAATCATCTTTGTCCACCTTCCTCACACGCTTGCGGCATCCCTCCCAGATACAACCGTTGAAAAAAAAGGAACAGCATGTAGCCTTTTTGGCATGTTTACTTTCCCCAAAGATTTTTGGTGGAATGGGCGAATTTGACTGACGGTATGCATGGGTAAGAATGAAAGGTATTAGGACTGTCTTTGACCCAGGCAGACCCCGATTTAAAACCGAGTCACATCTTTTGGATGGTGATGTTAAAGGTCGGTGCCCCGAAGTAAGTAATCATAGCTGATTGATACAGGTCTGTAAAAATCCAATTACACACAAACACAAACAAACACTTGATACATTTTTTTTCAATAAAAACAAGGCGATATGCATGTTACCACATATAGGTCAGCTTAGCAAAATGAAGAGGCACGAAAAGAATCGTCTGGAACACAACAAATGATGTGAGTAAAACACTGCCAGTACGTACAGTCAAACCTGCTTTAGTGACTACAAATACCACATTTTTTGTTTCCCTTCAAAATGGTTTCTCATTGAATCATGTCCTAAAGGAACCTGTCTACAAAGACCACTTTTTGTGTTTCCCTTGGGCGGTCGCTATAGACAGGTTTGACTGTAATTTGACATACCGTGTACACGACTGACTGTTGCCCGACTTTGATATGGAACATCCCTGCTCCAAGAACGTGACCGGCGTAGTAGGCTTTGATCTCCAACTCATCGTCGACCTGCAATGGTACAAATATCAAAAATAATTTTAAAACGTGTGATGGCTAAGTGGTAGAGCAGTGGTCTGGTGACCAGGAGGTTCCCGTCCAAAACAAAGTCAATGCACTTGTGCACTTTGGAAAGGCATTTATCTTCATTACCAAGTCCGTCAGAGAGGACGTAAAGCTGTCGGTCCCATGGTTGTTTACTTACAAGCGTACACATGCTTCCTTAGCAGTCAAGTAAAACAATTAGCGATCATCAACCTACTCTGTTAGGGATGAGAAAAGTTGAAATGAGTCTGAACTTAAAAGATGTTTTGTACCTTACTACCTGTTGCAGACGTAAACACCTGAAGTTCTATGAATCCAGTGGTATATTGAAGAGGTCTATGCCTTTGAATTAGAGGAGGCGCGATAGCTCAGTTGGTAGAGCAGTGGTCTCGTAATCCGCTGACCCGGTTCGAAACCAAGGCGATGCGCTATTGCCCTTTGGTAAGGCATTAATCCTCATTACTAGGTCCCTCGGAGAGGACCTAAAGCCGTTGGCCTAATGATTGCTTCCTTACAAGCATTTATGCTTCCTTAGCAGCTACATGTAGGTAAAATAACCACCACCCGATTTCAAATAATAAATTTTGAATGTTTAATTCCAGATATTCATTTCTAGACTCAAAAATATTTGAAGGTAATTCAAAATGAAATTCAAAACTCACCTGGATAATTTGATGTAGATTTACCACCACAACTTTCTTCATGCAGTCTTTGATCATCTGTGGATGAAAAGATAGATTGATGTGTAATAATTTCAATAAAATTGTTTCAATGAAATTGACTATGATATCAGTGCACATTTTCATATTGAATTTGGATATCGGTGTGTGTGTGTGTGTACTGTGTTTTTACAGACGTGTATCAATCAGATATGATTATTTACGTCTGGTGACCGACCTTTAAACGTCGCCATCCGAAAGACAAGACTCAGTTTTGAACCTGCGTCCTCAGCAGAATCAGTTTGTAACTTCTATTGTTAGCTGGATTACAGGCGCACGCCAGAACGCCTAGTTACAAAACCCACCCATCAAAACTCACCCATCAATTTATTCTGACCGAAAATTTGGACTGATTAAGGACACACAAAAACCTGATTAAATCCCCTTAATATCCTAGGGTGTATATCAATTGCCACAGCTGACATTTTTGTCAATTTTTTCCCATAATGCATCACACGAAATCGACTAAACACTAGTGTTACTCGATGTGAATTGTGAATCCACCTCATTATTATAGAAATACAGTCAAACCTGTCTATAGCGACCACCCAAGGGAAACACAAAAAGTGGCCTTTGTGGACAGGTTGTCTTTGAAGACAGGTTCCTTTAGTACACGATTCAATGAGAAACCATTTGCAAGGGAAACAAAAAATGTGGCCTTTGTAGACAGGTGGTCTTTGTAGACAGGTGGTCACTAAAGCAGGTTTGACTGTAATCTCTCAATCAATTAAACCCCTGTATCTAGTACTACGGTTATACATGAAAATATACTCACAGCTGACGTAAAGAAATTGGTTTCTCCTTTCTTCTCAACAGTAATTTTCCTGTAATCCTCCTATGAAAAAAATTAATAAATAAAATGATTTGTTTTATAAACTTGTAACAATAATATATACTTGAATGTGTAAATATTAACTAATTTAAACACCTTCCTCAGACAAGTATTATTCAAATCGGCAAAGGATGATGTTTGATGATTGCCGCATTGTAGATGAATTAGACATAATTATATAGATACCAAAACAGATAATTAAATATAGATGTGTCATAGAACTGTTTACTAAATTATTCAAACTATCATCTCCTCTTTGATAGTAGTTTGTCCCATTTCCAGAGTAGTCAGTCATAATGTGAATTCTATCAATAGGTAAGTGACTTGTAAGCAAGCTAGTATTCATTCATTTATTATTTATTATTTCATTCTTTTTATTTATGCATACAATCATTCATTCATTCATTTATTTCTTCATTCATTCTTGTTATTCCTTCATTCATTCATTACAGCATACTTACAAGAAGTATGGGACAGATAGCCTTGGTGGGTTGTGTCATGTAGATGGGTTTATCATAAACAACAATGTCACTCACTCACCCACCCACCCACTCACTCAACTACTCACCCACTCAATCACCCACCCACTCACTCACCCACTCACGCACTGACTCACTCACTTACTCATTCATTACAGCATACTTACAAGTAGTATGGGACAGATAGCCTTGGTGGGTTGTGTCATGTAGATTGGTCCATCGTAACCAACAATCTCTGACATGTGAGGGAGGGCTCCACAGTGATCTAGATGAAAATGACTAGAGATGGGGAAAATTTAAATTAACAGAAAAATATATTTTTTTCAAACATATAGAACAGACAATGTTAAAAGTGAAACAGCGAAAGAAAGAGAGAGAGAGAGAGAGAGAGCCAGGGAGGGTCGATCATACTGGCCCCAAACACGTTAGAAATGTTGAATGTCCTCATTTTCTTATTAGTTGTCAAATATACAGTAGGCTTGCAGTCTATCTACATCACCATGCAAGCTGACACTTACAAGTAGTTGTCAAATGTTCTTCAAAATTGTTTGTATGTTTGTTTTTCTTATTATTTTTCTTTTTATGTTGGCCAAGACAACATTACTGCACACTTTTACGATGATTAGATTTTGATTAGAATATTTTATATGATTAGAAATGAAGTTAAATACTCTAATAAGACTTTTAAAGATTACGACATCTACAAAAAGAGCTTTGAATATTGAATGGTCTTATACATTTCAAGTGCTATCAATGAAGGTATTAGATTGATATTACCATTTAAAGCCACACTGTACTACTTGTAGCTACTTGCTCCCTCTATATAGAAATCTTCCCCAATCGGTGCCTTTTGGTCCCCCATGATCCTCTTTTTCTGATATTAATTGAGAGCTAAGTTAATGAGACAGCCACCTGTCAGTGACCTCGCCATGTGGTCTAATCCCTTCTGGCTGAACTAGTACAGCCGGCCTTTAAAAACATAAAGTCTTTTTGTCTTTATACATACCTAATGATGACAGCATCTAAATGGTCTGTCAATCGGCCATTCTTGTTGATGTAGGAGAAATCGGGAAATCTTCTCTGTTTAAAAGAAAATAGGTAACACAAATGCACATCATTTACAATGTAATTGATCTTCTTAGATTTCAAGAAGAGGAAAGATATAGAGGAAGAGGAAGAAAAGGGAAAAGAAAGAGAAGAAGAATGAGCAAGAAGAAGAATGATTCAAAGACTAAAAAGAAGATGAAAAAATAATGAAAAAGAAAATGACAAATGATGAAAAACAATGGGGAAATGAGAAAAAATAAAGGCAAAGAAGGAAAAAGGAGATCAACAAAAGGAGTAGTAAGAAGAAGAAGATTAGGAGAATAACACAACAGAATATGAGAAAGAATAAGATAAATGAAGAACAAATAAACAAAAATAAAGAAAAAAGAAGACTAAGAAGGCAAAGAAGAAGAACATTAACAAGAAGTACAAGAAAGGAAAAGGAAAAGGAGGAGAAGGAGAAGGAAGAGGAAAAGTATAATAAGTAGGCAGAAGGAGAAGGAAGAGAAAGGATTATGAAGTAGGGGGAAGGAGAAGAAGGAGAAGAAGGAGGAGAAGGAAGAAGAAGAAAACATAATAAGTAGGCAAAAGAAAGAAAAAGGAAGAAAAAAAAAAGTAGGCGGAAAAGAAGAAAGAGAAGAAGACTAATAAGTAGGCAGAAGGAGAACTAAAAGAACAAGAACAAGAAGAGAAAGAAGAAGAAGAAGAAGAAAAAAAGAAAGAAGATGTATAATACTCACTTCATCATTGAAGCCCATATGCATGCCACAATCCAACATGATGTTTTTGCTCCCTATTGTCAGGAGTATGCAGCTACGCCCCACATCTTGACCGGCCCCTATCAAAGCAAAAACATTGCAATGGAGAAAAAAAAAAAATTATGACAATATCAAACTACTTGTATTGTTGACATTACAAATCAAACTGCGTGCTCTCCTCGCAGCTCATACATATTCATATTTGTATTGTTGACATTACAAATTTAACTGCATGCTCTCCTCGCAGCTCCTACATATTCATATTTTAATGGCGCAATACCCATTTTTTCATCTATTCTTGGCTTGAAATTGATGTCACCTTTCACAGTTTTCCCTCTAACTTTGAGATTGCTGTAGCTTGACCCGTCTGTCTTTTTATGGTCGACCGTGGAGGCCTTAGTGAGCTTACTTATAATCATACAAAATTACAATTGCATACCGTATGTATATACCGACGAAGGCGTGCGCGTGCGGACCCGCGAGCGTGCATGAAGTTAGCGACCATAAACTTCATGCACGCTCTCGGATCCGCACCCCTTCTTTGATTGTTATGGTATGCAAATGTATTGTAATTGTGCAGCGGTTTGCCGTGAAACTTGTGAAAAAGTGTATAGAGTAAAGGAGGAAGTTTTCGGCCACTGAAGAAAAATCCTATGTTTGGACTGTTTACTTCCTATTTATTTTCATTTCTTGTTCAAATCATGAAGCCCATACTATCATTATTTTAACAAAAAAAGAATCCCAGAAAAAATCATGAATTGCCATGGCAATATTCATTTTCATGTTCACTGTTTCGGAGGTAGTTTTCGGCCTAGTAAGGCAGCTTTTAGCTGCATGAACGTACGTAGTCAATTGGGAGCACGCGCTGTGTGTTCGCCTGTTGATCTATAGCACGGGCTCGCTGTGGTATTAACAAATAAGATGCGTGCGGCCAGAGCACGTAATCCCCTGCACGGCCGAAAACTACACCTGCGGGTATGGTGATCAGAAATTGGAATCTAAACTAGGGTAGGCACGCTCACGCATCACGAGAGGGCGCTTTTATTTTGATTCGTTTTGCTGTACAAAAGTTGCGAACGGCCTCAGATGTCAAGAGGCTCTATCAAGCGCTGATATGACGTTCTTGTAATGCTAATTATTCCACAAATCGAAACACTGCTGGCGATTTTAACATTGTATGGCATACTTATCTATATGTAGTAACATGTACTAACATTCTTGACAAGTTGCTGTGCGATAAACTTTGTGAAATTCCCCAAATCGGTCCAGAAAATCACTTGTAAGTACCATATTTTACTGAATTCTGTCAGATTTCACATTAATATCTAAAATTTTCTACCTCGCACATTGATAATTCAAGTATCACCGTGAGGGGGGAATTATAACCTTCAATTTAACACCGATATCGACAGGGTTCTTCCTTGCGAATGAAAGCGAATCCTGTTTGCCCGGAGGCTGTTCAATCATGAAATCAGCTCCGCCAGCGTTCCCGGCGCTCAGTTCGCGGGGTTTTCCGGGCGCTTTGGTAATTTTCTGGGCAAAGCGGTTACAGCGCGCCATTACCATGCCCAGTCTCAAGGCGTACACGATCTGCTCGGTTCGCCCATCACCATGTGGCATGCAGTGAGTCATCACCGTGCAAGCGCAAGCGAAGTGATGATGCTCTCGAAGCCGACGGCTGGCCATGCACAATTAATTGCAAGGAAAAAAATTAAATCCTTGAATTTTAGGCAGTGTTGCCCCCAAAAAAATTTGATTTGTGTTGCATGAGGCTAGACCTACCATTTGAGGTAAGTTTCATTACCTATCGCAAAAAAAAAAAATTACGTGAGCGTGCCCAACTAGGGTCTATAGCAGGCCTTCTCAACTGGCGGCGCGCGCGCCACTTGTGGCGCTTGCGGTCAGTCGGAGTGGCGCGCGACTGTTGCAACAACAAAATAAAAAACAGAAAGAAAGAAAATATTTATTTTAGAATCAAATACTCAGCTAAATCAAGAAGTTGCAGTCGAATTTGAGCCCAAAATGCCTGCTTAACAAACAGGAAGAAGGGGGAATTGATCGTTTTTTACCATTTTATACAAATCTAAACCCAAGGTCTGAACAACAATTAGCTTACGATGGGATACCAATTTTAACATTGCCAATCTTTGGAAACAACTTGTTTTTGTTTGTTTGATTTTCACTTTATTTTGACATTTCCCGTGTTTATTGCACACAAAAAATGCATATAAATATACCTCCGGTATAATTTTACCCATGAATTGTACTAATTTTTTTTCAATAAGAAATTATGATTGATTATATATTGTGGAATGAAATGGTGTTGAAAATGCCCCATTTGGGCCTTTAAAAAGCCCTAGGCCTAGATCCAGCAGCTTCAGGGGGCCCCACCCCCTGCTACCCCCGTTAGGGCTTCGCCCCCTGACCCCACCCATTTTCGGCTCGGTCGCTACGCTCCCTCGCAGCACAGTCAACTATACAGGGTGGCGCTTCAATTACAAATTCTTTTCGTTTTGGCACTTCTAATAAACTAGTTGAGAAGGCCTGGTCTATAGGGTCTAGGCCAAGTATCCAACTGCAGTGATATGATATATGCGGTGAGATACTTTTGAGCTTGCGATACTCAAAAAATCTGACTCTAAATCTGAAAAATACTGAAATACAGCTCATGTTTTGGTACCTATATTCCTTACAAACACACGAAAGATATTCAATTTTTTTTTCTTCTCCAGATTCGGGTAGCGGGACCGCCGATTACATTGCTAAAATGTGATATTTAAGGATACATTTTCCATTGCAAATGGTTCTTCAGTGACTCTGGCATGTTATAGTATGTGTGAGATATGTGATATGCTATTATGCAATGTGTTATAAAGGGATTTTACCATGCAACCAACGGACCGGCCGAAAACTGCAGAGGGGCCAAAAAACCCTCCTTTCTCGATCTCTCGGCCTTTCTATTCTAGTCTGTCACCACTCCAGCAAAGCATAGAGAGTCAATGCTAGTGCGTATTGACCTCTAGCAATAGCTGTGAATGGGGTATTATTATACCCATACACAAATCACACACCACACAATATCGCATAGACTCTACACAATCATGTCGATGCAGCTGTAAGCAAAGTTTGACACTAGACTTACAATTTGAATTTTTAAATTATTCTTTTTAGCATTAGTAAGTTTAAAAAATGTATTTTACTGCTATTTAGGTGTCATCAATTGTCACTAAAGTACCGATTTTGAGTGAAATCAGTTGAGTTTTGTACAGTGGTGTTTGAAATGTTGAAAATCAAAAGCACAGCTTTTACTAGGGTGTCTGATCGCGCACCCGATGTTGTGTGCTAAAATTCTTCCCATAGAGATTACACGCATCCCTATGCAGTCTACGTGCATTGCGCGACCATGCAAAAAAAGTCAATTTTTTTTTTTCAATTCGAGATTCAAACCTTTATCTGTTGTGATCCTGAAGGTGATAATCAATAAATGAGGTGTCATATGAAAGAGCAGGTAAATTCCAATATTTCTAAAGGGGCGTAGCCCCCGAAATTCTAAAAATATCTTGGTCAAAACAGCAATTGAAACATTGTGTCCTGGCTAACTCTGAGGTTTGTCACTTTTGAGATATGACGCCCCGATCGATAAGTAGTCCCAGTCCTAAGGAACAATTCTATGTGCTTATATTTTCGCTAGCCCCCAGGGATCACAACTGATAACAGTTTAAAAATACCCTTCTCGCTATTTGGTGGATCAGCTAATTAGGGGGCGTGCGCTCCGCTCAGTCCAAACCATGGTTACATCGCGTAACATCTCCGCGCACGAACGAAACCCCAAATTCAAGTATGGGTGGCCATTCGCGGCATAGAACCCGGAAGTGAATACACGTTATAGTAAATGGCAATATCGCGGAGACATCTCCGCGATATTGCCATTGACTATAACGTGCATTCACTTCCGGGTTTATTGTGCGACGAACGCCAACCATACTAGTCAATGGCACATGTCGCGGAGACAGCGTAGCTCAAGCTGCAAGTCGCGGATTGGCTTAGCAGCATGCGTACGATATGCATACGCTTGCATATCGCGCGATACAGCTGTTTGGCTAAATTTAGCAAAACAACATCACTCTGCGTAGACGTCTTTTTCGTCGATTTTGACCAAAATGATATGAATATACCAGCGTTTTGGAGGGGCTGTAACTTTTGATAGAAACATCGGTGAGACTTGAAATTTGAAATGTATTATTCTGATAACATCTTTTATTCAAATATCAAACAAAAATGGTGAAAAACGATCCCAAATTGAAAATTGAAAAATCGTTCAGACACCCTACTTTTACTACACAGCCAGGATAGTGATGCTCCTATGGCTAGATTCTATGTGTGGTCTGTCACTAGAGTCTAGCGCCTCCTCAATTGTCACTAAAGTATGATTTTGAGTGCACTCAGTTGAGTTTTTTACAGTGCTGTGTGAAATGTTGAGAATCAATAGTACAGTGTTTAATACCCATCCAGGATAGCAATGCAGCTATGTATGTGATTGCATTGCTTTGCATTGCATTGGTCATTGACGTTGTTGTAGGCGCCTCAAGTATTCTGCAGCACAAAAGACAACACATGGGACTGTACACAAAATATCGCCGATTACCAAAGTCTTCAACCTTCATTAATATTCCCCAAATTCTGAATTAAAAAGCAGAGAACAAACATACCTAGAGGCACAATCCTGATATCTGTCATCTTAAGGCAAAATTATTACAGAAATGAGCTAACTTCTTCGAATTTTCCGAGTTGATGGCCAGTCGAAGAAAATAGTCTTGTTTCAAGAAATTTGTAAAAAGTTGTGTGTTGGACTATGAGGCGCTCGTTGTTGTCAGGTTATGACCATTTATTGCCGAATACTAAACAAATTTGTTTTAAATTCAAAATTACGTATATACACTCACATAATATGCGTGTATATATTTGTATATACATTCCTTTTTTTTTCCTTAAAAAAAAAGGAGGGATTGGGGGGGGGGGGGGCAAACATTCCAGGGGATCACCTTCCAAGGGTAGTGACGTACTGAGCAAAAACGTTTGGAAGTGTGGGGGGGGGGGGGCAGAATGAGCATCACCACCACTCTTACACGTTACATGCAGGCCCCGCGGAACGTTTTTCAAAGTGGAATATTAACGATCAGGTAAAGCGTAAACCCCGAAAGCTCAGGGTTTTAGGCATTAAATTACGGTCAGATAAGCATATTTAGATACTTTATTTGTGACACTGGCAGGTCACTAATTGGTAGAGTGTCCAGGGAGCAGAGCCCCCGGAAGCTCAGGGGTTTTAGGTATTTAATTATGGTCAGATGAGCATCCAGGGGCCCGCCTTAGGGCCCTTGGTAGGGTCCAGGGGGCAGAGCCCCCGGAAGCTCTGGGGTTTTAGGTATTTAATTACGGTCAAATGAGCATCCAGGGGACCGCCTTAGGGCCTTTGGTGGGGTCCAGGGGCCAGAGTCCTCGGAAGCTCTGGGGTTTTAGGTATTTAATTACGGTCAGATGAGCATCCAGGGGACCGCCTTAGGGCCTTTGGTGAGGTCCAGGGGGCAGAGCCCCCGGAAGCTCTGGGGTTTTAGGTATTTAATTACGGTCAAATGAGCATACAGGGGACCGCCTTAGGGCCTTTGGTTGGGTCCAGGGGGCAGAGCCCCCAGAAGCTCGGGGGTTTTAGGTATTTAATTACGGTCAGATGAGCATATTTTGATACCTCATTTGTTACATTGGCAGGTTTCCTATTTTTCTCTCTCTCTTTCTTTCTTTTTCTCTGTAACATACTTTTTCAAAAAGTTATGGGGGCTCGAGCCCCCGAGCCCAGCCGTTTTGCAGACCATGACATAAAGCCTTCTAAATAAGCATATTTTTCGCCCGACTGTAAATTTGGGAAATTTCTAATTTTTCAACAAACGCATAAAAAGGTTTGACTTACTGGAAAAAAATACCGAAAAATCATGTCATTTCAGCAACATTTGTAAATCACTGGCATCGAATAAGAAATAACCCCCCCCCCCCCCTCCCTCTCAGTACGCCCGCGTTCAGAGGCTCATGTCTTCTCACCCCTATAACAAAACAAAAAAAACACGCTTTCCCAATCTCTCACGATATGTCCACGATATGCGCGTATCGCTATTATAAAAAAAACCTCCATTGATAAATGTAGGTGGCATGCGCAATGTTTAGGAAATTTAATTTCTGTTTATTTTCCTTTTCTTTGAATGGAATTTTATATGTCATTTAATTCAGGCTTTTATTATTGTTCTGTTCTTTGGGGTTTAAAATACAAACCATCTTTACTCCTTTAGTGGTTTTTTTTTTTTTTGGAGGGGGGGCGTTTTTGGGGGCCAAAAATGCGTTTTGCCCCCCCCCCCCCACTTTTTTGATTGGGGGGGGGGGCAACTGCCCCCCCCCCCCTGCACCACCTCCTAGGCAGCGCGCTACGCGCGCTTCGCGTGCTCACTACCGAACCCCTAAAATAAAGTCCTGGCTACGCGCTTGCCATTGAGCAGCACACTCATTAACCTCATTAACATGTGACAATAGTACCATTACATATTTTCTTGAATGAATACAGTTTCAGTTCTGTTGGTGAAATAACCATTACTCTGTTGCAGTATATGCATATTTTATTTGTAAGGTTGTATGAATTCTCTTTGACTTATGTTGCTACAATAATCATATACATATTATAATCATTATTTCTTTTTCTTTATTATAAGGTTGAACGAATACTGTTTCAGTTCTATTGCTACAATAATAATTTACATATAATAATAATAACATAAGATATTTTTCATTATAATTTTGAATGAATGCTGTTTTAGTTCTCTTTTAACAATGACAATGTACACATGAAAATAATTGCAGTCAATATTTCCTTCATTGTGAGGTTGTATAAATACTGTGTTCTGTTACTATAATAATCTTATACATAGAATAGTACTTACAGAATATATTGTTGTTATTAAAAGGTTGTAGAAATACTGCTTCAGTTCCGTTGTAACAAGAGTCATTTACATGTGATAATAATTTGCAGTAGATATTTTATTTATTGTAAGGTTGTATGAATTCAATTGCAGTTTTTTTTCAACAATAATTTTAGACATGAAATGATAATCTCAGTATATGTTTTTGTTGCTGTAAGGTTGTATGAATACTCTCTCAGTTGTGTTCCTACAATAATCATATACAAATGGTTATAATTACAGAATATATTTTATTTGTTTGAAAACTACTTCAATTCCATCGCTACAATGATGTTGCACATAAAGTAATAAAGACAATACATATATGGATCATTATCAGGTGGTTTGAAAACGTTTCAATTTGTATTGCTAGATCATGTTAATAAGACAATCAATACAGACCCATTTTTTAAACGACGTGGCTGTAAAACTATCATTTCATTTGTATTGATACAATGGTCATGAATTTAAGACAATAACTACAGAAGAAGTTGTCCTCAATGTAAGGTTTTATGAAGACTGTTCAGTTCTTTTGCTACAATGATAATGTTTATTAAGACAATAATAACAGAAGATATTTTCTATGAAGACTGCTCATTTGTTTTTACTAAAATAAACATGTATATGTATAGGTGATAACTGAAATTAATACAAGCGTTATCATAAGTTTGTATGAAAATTGTTGCAGTTGTATGTCTACAAATCCATGTACATAAGATAGCTTAATAATTTCAGAGGATTTTTTCTTTATTGCAAAGTCTGCATGAAACCCTTTTTCTCAGTTGTTGCAATGATCATGTACATTACGTAATAAATGCAGTAAATATGTGCTTTGTATGTTTTGTATGAACACTTCTCCAGTTGGATTGCCTAAGCGATCATGTAAACATAAAACAATAATAGCAGCGGATAATTTCATCATTGTAAATTTTTATGAAACTGTTTCTGTTATTACAGTTAAGTTGTGTGGTTTAGGCAAACTTTGTTTTGTGAGATTAGCATTCATTTCATTTAGACGAAAGAATATCACTTGAGCAATGCCCCTTTAAAATGATTACTCATAAAAAAAATGTCCTACTATGTCGTTCTAATAGTTTTTTTTCAGTTGATATGGTACTTCATGGTTCAGTCTCCAAAAGGAATTGATATTAATATATATTTTGTTCACGTTTTAATTTCTTATATTCGACATACTTTATAGTATAGTCATTTTTTTCTTTCGAAATTGTAATTACTACCTTGACTGCATTTAAAATCATTTAACGTTTCTAATGCTACGTTTACACTATGTTCCCGGCGGCCACGGCAGCCCCGTTTGCCCGAAACGTAGTGCGCCGTGGGATTTAGACCAATTTTATCTCTGGATTCAAGTTTTGTTACGTCTTGCCAAGTTTTCTCACGGTCTACCACGGTATCAGTGACGGGCCGTGGGGGGAAGGGGATGCTGAGTCCCGGAGGCTCTAATTAGAGCCTCCGGGACTCAGCATCCCCTTCCCCCCACGGCCCGTCACTGAAGGCGCACTACGGTTCGGCCCGCGTTCTACCACGGATGCCAGAACGTTCCCTCCCGGCCCGTCACGTTCTGATGGGGTCCCTCACGTTTCCCACGTTCTGATCAAGGTCTGACACGTTTTTCACGTTCTGTCAAGGCTTTGTACGGATGAAACGTGGACGCAGGGCAGCTTTGGAGCACGTTTGTGCCGGCGGTATATAAAGAAGGTCTCCCAAGCAATAGCAATCATGGTATCCTGAGACCTCGCGTTGTGTCAGACCGTAGTAGAACGCAACGCGCCATTGCTTGCCGGGCGCTTAAACCGTCCCACTACGGACCACCCCCAAGTTTTGTTACGGCCTATTACGGACTGTCACGTTTTGTTACGTTCACCCCGGTTTATTACGTCCTACTAGGTTTCTCATCCGCGCCTTGACTGCCGTGGCAATTTTTTTGACAGTTTAAAAATCTGACACGGTATCCACGGCAATCACGGCCTGTCACGTTTGCCCATACGGTCCCCCGCGTTGTGTCACGTCAATCCCGTTTCGTCCACGGTGGCCTGAAACGTGGTTGCCGTGGCCGCCGGGAACATAGTGTAAACGTAGCATAACATGTCTTAAATGTAGATTTTGTCATGGTTCTAATACCAAGATGTACAGCAGTATTAAAACCAATCATAATCCGTCGCAAATACGTTTGAACGAATGTGATTTCTAAATCTGAAAATTAGTCATCCCCATATAATATATTCCTATTCACATAATCAACATTTCTATAAATGACTTGCAGAAATTTCTTTTTAAAATGCACTTTCCAAGCAAGTATACATGGATTTATGTTTATGACGGATGTGTCAACGTTATTTATGTTGAATTGTTACAATATTCAAGTTGAAAAAAATTGAAAGTATATATCTGAAATTCAACTAAAGTAAGGTTGTAGAAGAGCGGTTTCGGGAGTATTAATTTTTATTGCATCAATGATCATGTACATAATACGATATATACAGTAATGTTTGTATTATATTAAGTGGTGATAAAATTTCAGTTGCGGTCCCGCAATGACAATTTAAACTAAAAGTGTTGTAATAAAGTAATAGATATTGCAAATGTTTGCGTATAATGAACATACATGGCCGCGATCTGAAAGAGCTGTCAATTGGACCACCACCCGAATTGTAAACTTACTTTTTTAAAGTCAAGTTATAATTAGGCTGCTGATTACATATCATCTTTAAAATTTAAAAAAATGAGCCCAATCCATCTATATACCTAATCACTCATTTCAGAGTCGGGATGAGGCTTCAAAGTTGATTGACGTCCGTTTTGTGTCTACGTTCGTCTAAT